ATGTGACACTTGTGGGAAAGATTTTAAGTGTAAGTCGCTATTGAACCGACATTTGAGGAGCCACACAGGTGAGAAGCCATATTCTTGTGAAACATGTGGGAAGAGTTTCATACGAAGAGGTAGCTTGAGTGTCCACATGAAAATTCACATAGGCGAGAAGCCATATTCTTGTAAAATGTGCCGGAAGAGTTTCACACGGAGAGATAACATGCGTACCCACATGAAAATCCACACAGGTGAGAAGCCATATATTTGCAAAACATGTGGGAAGAGTTTCAGACAGAGAGGTGGCTTGCAGCTCCACATGAGAATCCACACAGGTGAGAGACCATTTGTTTGCAACATTTGTGGCAAAGGATTCAAGCAAAGCTCAAACTTTACTGCTCATTTAAGAATCCACACAGGTGAGAGGCCATTTGTTTGCAACACCTGTGGGAAAGGATTCAGGCGGAAGTCAGAATTGACCATTCATTTAAGAATCCACACAGGTGAGAAGCCATATTCCTGCATTGACTGTAAGAAAAGGTTCCGTACAACATCACAGTTGAAAAGACATAAAAGAATTCATACAGGTTAGTGTTCTTGCAAAACATGGGGGAGCTTTCAGACGTAGTACTGATATTCCATAAAATGAAAGATTTATTGTGAGTTATTAACAGCTGTTGTCTGAGGGTTGGATGAGAATTTCTGGAGGCCTCTTAAGCCGAGCAGATGCTGTACGACCTTTATTGATCGTATACGATGTGTGTGTTCACTCTGGATGTTTAAACAGAACTCTGGAGTGGATGTGTTCATTGAGAAGTCCAGTAAAGTTTACGTCAACCAAAAGAAAAGCATTACTTTAGCCACTATACTTTGTACAGCTGATGAACAGCAGTAATCTGCTGTCACTATTTTTCTTGCTGCTGCAGATCATGATACAGCTTTGTGGTGCTGCCACAGCTCATTTAACCTCGTCCATATACAGTATATAAATATATGTGGCCTATGGCCTTGTTTCAGTTGATTGTGTCCACAAAATATGATCTAATTTGGGCCATGTTGTTATGTAGTCTTTGTACTCACTCTAGTGTACTGAACTAACTTCAGACTGTGGACCTGCAAGACAGCTGACAAAATTTCTGACATGCCAGAAATCCATCCCATCCATGGAGAGCTAGGTCGTTGGTCGTTCGGGTAATTAATCTGGTGCCAGGACCCTGCTCATACTGTACGTCCGGGGTGTCAAACTCAATCGCACAGGAGGCCAAAACTCAAAGCACACTTTAGGTCGCGGGCCGAACAGGATAAAAATGTCACGAACAGAATTCCAGGTCTTGGGGAAAGTCTTTCCGTGACACAGTTTCCTGCATCTCCTCTAGTCTGGCCAGCATCTGGTTGGCATGCCCAGAAAATTCCTCAAACGCCACACGCACCTGGCCAAAAATACAGGCAAACATCAAAGTAAAGGTCATTAAGTCAATATCTAAAGCTAGATGTCTATGACTGACGACTGCTTGTGTCAGCTTTTTGGTTATGTAGTTGTTTTAGTTTTTCACACGTGCTTTAAGCCAGGCAGACAATGTGTGATTTTACTGCCTGTGTATGATACACCAGAATCGACTTCTTACACTCTACATTCATCTGGGCAACGTGACACTGGATGTTTAAAAGGAACCCCGGAGTGGGTGCATTCATTGACAACTCCAGTAAAGTTGAGGTCAACAAAAAGAAAAACTGTTTTACTTTTAGCCATTTTATTTGTACAGCTAATGAACAGCGGCATTTCTCCTGTTGAAGAAATGTTGTACAGTATGGTGTTTAAAGAGCACAATTAGCTTTATTCTAAGACAGTATATAAACATATCATATATACAGTTTATGGCCTTATTTCGTTTGATTCTGCCCACAAAATGTGACATCTCATCTGTATTATGTTGTTGTCTTTGTACTCAGACAAGAGCAATGAACAAACTTGGACCTGCAGGACAGCTGACCTGCCAGAAAATCATCCAAGCAGTCGGGAGTTAGATTGTTGGTCATTTGGGTGATTAATCAGGCACTGGGACCCTGCTTACACTGTACTCCAAACGAAAACTCATCGGGCCAAAATTCAGCCCGACTTTAAAGTAGTCAAGGGCGACTGAAGCAGATCTAAAATTTGGCCAAATCTGTACAGTGTCTGCTCGGCTTTACAACGAGACTGAATGAGAGACTTAGACGGCCCATCAATGTGGTTTTGGCCATTTCAGTGAAAAACCATTGTTATACCCCAGTTCTTTTACTGGACAGATACGAGTAAATAAGGAGTCTGTCTTTCTTGATTTTAGTGCTGGTTTATTTACTATATATATAGTAAATGAAATGGCCAAAACCACATTGATGGGCCGTCTGTCTCTCATTCAGTCTCGTTACTATATATATAGTAAATAAACCAGCACTAAAATCAAGAAAGACGGACTCCTTATTTACTCAGATCTGTATGTATGCATGCATGTATGTAGGCATGCATAAGAAGGAGTACAGAACACAACCCAGGGCTCCCTCCGTCAGACAAGCCGCTGGAGATGAGACCAGGAATGAAACAAACACCCGGAAACACAGAGCCTAATACATATACCAGTTCCAGGCTAACCCCTTACACAGACAGCTGTACAAACATCAGGAGCTGGAGCCAGTGTGACGTCTCCTTCTCCTATCTAAAGCTCTGCATGCTTGGAGCAGCTGGACATAACAAAATGAAGAATTCCATATGTGTGTGTATATGTTTGTGTGATGTGTAACTAAAACATCCATTCAGACATAATTCTTACACAAGATTAAAACAAGAAAACAATTGGTGTCATGGCTTACTGCTAACCTTGAAACAACTCAGACTTTGAATCTTACTAAACTGCATTACTAATGTCTAATAATCTAATTTATTAATTTCTAACACTATACATCCTGTCACAATATGAATCGCAGTTCCTGAATTCTTATGAGTTTGCTGTGTTTTTGATGTATAAGTTGTTTATGAAACTTAAGAATTGACAGAATAAAAGAAGAAAACGGATCAAAAAGTGGAATAGAGTAGAAGGTGAGAGCCTACAGTGGATGATGTCACTGCGAGTCGTCATCATCCGCTGTAGGTGAGAAGCCATTTATTGCAACACCTGTGGGAAAAGATTTTATATGACATCTGAATTGATTAGACATATTAGAATTCATATAGGTTATATATTGTATGCTTGCAAAATGTGGGGGAGCTTTCAGACTGAATTGACAATCCACATGAGAAGAGCACACACTGTGAAGCCACAACTCAGTGTGTCTCAGTTGGGAAAGAACATAAGATGACCTACAAAAAGTAGCCTGACATTTGTAAAATCCATGTGAGAGGATTCAGTTGTAGTGGTTCATGGGCAATACAATAATTCTTTTTTTTTAACAGTTAATGCATTGATTCATTGTCTGAAGATAAAAACTTTTTCTTAGATTCAACATGAGTATTTTATAGACTTACTGAAAGAACTAAGGTTTTCTGTTATTCCTGGATGGAGAGGGCAAAACATTACACCAGGTACCACAGAGTACAATATTACTGCTGCCAGATATGTGTGATCTATTAGAGATGATTATTGATTAAGCAATAAAATATTTTGTTTTACACCCAAGCAAAACTATTTGTTTTAGCTTTACACCACAAACCAGGGAAGCAAACAAAACTCAATTTGTTTGTTGTTATAGTGTTTTATTTCAGATAGATGGGACAGGTGTCAGAACACAAACTAAACCCAGAGTGCATTGCACATTGAAACTGGATCAAACGGACACA